AGTGGTTTGAGAACTTCATATAACATGACGTAATAAAAACGTGCCTCACGGGAAGAAATTCATTCTGTTTTAATTAAGGTCTATTTAAGCTTGGGGAAAACTGGTTGGTCAAATTTCAATATCAACTCATTGGAAAGTCGTCGAAATGCCCCCCAAATTATTCAATCAACAACTGACACGAAAAAGTACAAAAATCATGGAATACTAGCCGTGCGCGACCTAGATAATGCCAAGCAATAGGATTTTGGTGAATTGAAATCATTGCGGAATTGGGAAAAAATAAGAGAGCAACTCCCTGTCGTGGTGGCCTTCGCTCAAATTCGCTTAGCAAATTCACGTGCCTTAATATACAAGGCAGAAAGCTGTAATCTGTCTACGTGGCTATACATACAGGTTGTGAACAAGCAGTTCAAGTTGAGTAAACACGCATTCATAGCATTGATTCCAAATCGTCAACTGGTTGACAGAGTGCTGAAAAAGAGCCTTGTTTAGCGTGAAAGGGACAACGTTTAAGTGTATAGGTATACATTTATCATCCCTGATAAGACGCATACACGTGTAACTCAAAATCAAGTTATAATGATTTACGCAAATACAGTTGAGTATAAATAAATATACAGATCGCATACTTTGAATGCACCCTTGGTGTCTTTCAAGTCAATGTCATTTTCATGCACCTTTTCATGAAATGTCCCATCCGCCGAATAATGCATTGCCACACGGTTAACGTCAGTATTCATTATAACAGGCAAATGCAGCCACTACTTCTTGTCGCTTTGCATACACGGGTATATTTTTGTATGCCATTTCCGTGTTCTGAAAATATCCTTGGTTGTGAAGTGCCAAGGCTATATGCCACACAGTTAACGTCAGTATTCATTATAACAGGCAAATGCAGCCACTACTTCTTGTCGCTTTGCATACACGGGTACATTTTTGTATGTCATTTCCATGTTTTGAAAATATCCTTGGTTGTGAAGTGCCTAGGCTATATGCCATTTATTTGTGAACCTGTATAGAAACATTTAGCGTAAATGGCCCCAGTGAACATAAATGATGATTTCTTTTTGAACGGGACAGTAGTGTATAATCTAACACGCGGAAATAGAGAGAGTGTGAAAAAACCTATTCACAACAAACACTTTCACCCAACCAGCATATTCAGAATGTCCAACTGAACTCTCAAATCCCTTTCAAAATTAGAGATATACTCACGTGGAGTAAGAGAGATAAAGAGAAGAACTAGCGTCGGCGCTTCCATCGCTATTCCAACTCTGACACAGGCAGTGACTTAATACACGCATCTAATTCATTTACCCTGAAAACAAAAGTACGGATTACATTCCGCTGTTGCTATTTTGGAACACAATCACGTGATCCCTGTACACACGCGTGTATAACAGGAATCTACCATTCACCCCAAAACAGAGGTGCGATTTTTTGGAAGAAATAAATGTTTTAGACTTGACACTATCTTCCGTATTGAATGCAGTTGTAAGTTTCGTCAACTCGATCACTGTGCTCAGTGTGACTCAGGATGTCATTTTTTTCTTCTTAAATGTAGTTTGTTTGAAATTTAGATTGAACGACATTTGAAGTCCACCCCTCGTCACATTGTTTTACGGGCGTGATGTCAGGGTGTTTTTATGGGAGTTTGGGGTTTCCCATTGTTTTGCGTGACAGTGTGCTGAACAAGTGAAGTGACCTGCCAAGGGTGTACAATCCAAAATAATGCGTGTTATCCTTTCCCTGGAAGGAAGTGTCAATGGGATTTTCCACTGCCAACACTTCCTCCAAAAAAAAAAAAAGGATTTGTTCCGTAATTATGATGCATCGGCAAAAGATCAATTCCCCATGGATTTTTCTGTATGAGTGGGTTGTCGAGTAGAACATGGCAACTGTTGTTTTGGGTGGTAAATGTAACTCCTGATGAGATGAAATGTTTGCTCTTATAGCTCATACTTCCAGGATATCTTTTCCATAAAAGTAACTGGATTCACTCTTAGTGTACAGGCTGGAAATAAACTAATCGTTGCTTCGCTTTTGACAAGATGACCGTTCATCAGCCGAGTGTATCGCTTTCTGCAAACTTGTGCATGGTAACTGGAGATGAATCTGCAGACGGGAGATTAGCTTCGGAGGTCTTCTGGCGCATTTAAATGGGTTAACCTTAGTTTCAAACAACACCAAGGCTTTTCTTCTGTTTGCGTTTTCTGAGTATGGACCTATTCTCTTTAACTCGTTATTTTGCACGCATGGGCATAATTGACATGGAGTGCATAAACAGCTTGAGCGACCCATTAAATAAGTACGGGTTACAAAATGATATCCTCGTCAAATACTCAAAGGTTCTGCTGGTATTTTTTCATTTTTTCGTCAGAAAACCATCTTAAATCATCAGAGCTTCCACTTTGAAGTACAAAATAAAGAATTTAGATATCCTTTTTTGTCAGAAGCACAATAGATCGATGTAAAAATCAGTAGGGCTCCCTTTTGTATGGACTAATTTTCAAAAAGTGAAATGTGCGATATACGTCGGGGTATCATGCACCAATCTAGATCGAGCTAGATCACTGGTTTTCCAAATGTCAGCTTCAACTCCATTTGTCGCCTTAATTGGTTTTTATTATATGATTCTGATTTTTTAGCCCAACACATTAAACCTAATGCCTTACCACAGGAATAATAAACTTTATGGGGTCCCTAAGGAAAAGTGTAATCCTTATTTTGAACACCACATGCCTACAAGCGCGGCTTGTATATAAGAGATTAAGCCTGAGATGGTAACGAAGTTGTGATTTAGAAATGGTGCCGGTCTTTTGCAAATGCACCTAATACTTTGGCCCTGTTTTGTTTCATACCGATTTGGATCTCGATCAGTGATCCCAAAGCTGGTTCGCGATATCCATTGGGGGGGGGGGGTTTCTGGTGTCAGTGAACCAACAACAGATCACTGGTCGCAATCCGGATCCGCTTGAAACAAACAACAGGCATAACTGCAGCGGTTCATGGTACCCTGGATCCTTGAAGGTTGCTTATTGCACAAACTTGGAATGGAACCCAGCTGTTGATTTTGTTGAAGGCCAAATCGTGTAGGGAAATCAGGTGACAAATGCAGATCTTACCGAACCTTTAGAACAATATGGGCTCTGGAAAATTGTCAAAAATGATTTCGATAACGTGATCATGGGTGGGTGCCGAATCCAAAGTTTCTCTCTGATAATAGCAGTGAAGAAGCTAGGATTTTACTAGTGTGGGGGGGACAAAGGGAGCACCAACATCTTATGGGGGAGGGGCACCAGCGTTCAATGGTGTGGTTTTGGGGGCAAATTATGTTAGCCTTATTCAATGTCCATTCATCCTTTTCTTTTTTTTTCATGGGGAGGCACCAGGGGGCACCGGAAATTGTGGGCGGGGCGCAAGTGCCCCCCCCGACCCCCCTGTGGCTACGCCACTGGATAGTAGGAGTCGGTTTGGTCTGGGACTCAAACTGTTGAAAGCTTTTGCCCCTTTTTTTCAAGTGCTCTGCATGCTGTTCAAAGACCAAAGTTCAATTAGGCCTATCTAAAAGTTGACACGGCTGGACATCACACAAATGCAATTTCGAGCATCTGAATATACCCAGCATTATTCACACGCCACAAATTCAGCTTGATAAAGCGTGCATGCATGTTAGGAATTTTCAAAATCGCTGTGCCTTTATGCAAAGGGAAAACATGTACATATGTCCAGAAAAGGCCTAGCCTGCCCCTATTACCCATGTGTTTGAAATACCTTTATTGTAATTCACATCTGTGACACAATAGGAAGTTAATGGAAAGGCTTACATCGATAAACATTAAACGACTAAACGGCAAAAACAACTAAAACATTCGATATACAGGGTGTATCAAAAAAGTATACAGTCAGAAAATGCTAAATAAAAATGTGAACATTTTTCGAAAATCTCTTCTCCTATATGGGTTGATTAGGGTATCATGCTGTTATTAAACTTGTGATCATGAACAGATTTTCATGCCTGAGTGACCAGGAGCTGTTTTCCTAAATCGCTCAAACATTGGCTTGCGCAGACACTTGCTTTGTTCAGAATTGGATCAAAAGTCCAGAAAAGCAAGTATGGTATGTGCTTCAATAAATATCTTTTACTTCACCAATTTAGTCCTCCACGTGTCCACCATAATATTTCGTTCCACACAGATTCGTGCCCTTCTCAGCAAGTCGGAGACAGCAAGCCTGATCATTGCTCTGTTTTGCCTGAGAGCACTGATCTCGGCAATGATCCTTCCTCCAAGGTCATTCATGTCCGCTGGTACACCCTGTATACAGAGTTCTAAAAAATGACAAAAACATCAGACCAACGGGAGAGAAAACTTTACAATTTCCCGTTCAACTAAGGTCATTCAACTCGATGAAAAGTAATGATTTCAGATGTACAGAGCCGGTACACGTATATTTAGGCCTATACGTGTTGTTCTAGACTATAAGAGGATGTTAAAAGGGAAACATTTTGAGTTAATGTGCACAATAGTTTAAATGCTGAAATGAAAGTAAATAGGCAAAGTTTATACCGATATCATAAAAACCTGCCGGGGTGAAGCATGTCGTAAAATCATATGTGCCTTTTCTAAAAAGGTGTTGATAAGCCAGATCAAAGTCGATCTTGACAAGCAGTAATCTGTGAACTAGTGTACGTAAAACAAGCTTACAAGGATCCCAAAATGAAACATGCAGTATTTTCATGTTAACGTTATAGAGGGCACCACTGCAAGATACAGTTTCTGACGAGTTGACATCAAGTCGTACAGTTTTGCATTGTGTCAAGCATTGAAATTGAATTACCATCCCATGTGATCTGGTAATTGATGGATCTGACTAACTCTAATGGAGGCCGTTCAAATAAAGCCCATAGCCTTACTTTTTCTGGTTGGTTGTAAGTATTTGAAGTTAATGCACTTGAGAAAGTTATGTATGTCATAAAAGTGTGGTTCCTTTGCTACTATTTGCTCCTGTTGCTGTAGCACACCCTGTGGTGTAAATCCTGGCCATATGGTCGAAGGACCAGGATGACAAATCAACAGAATTCTGACATTGCCCGGTCGTGTTAAAATTTGGAAGTGGATACACGGGGTCTGCTGTCCATGGCACGAATTAATATCTTTGGTATGCTTGTAAGGTTACCGTATAATATGAGCCTTGTAGCTTTGCATCAAAACCGCCCATTTTAGCTTCAGCAGAAAGAAACTTTGGAAGCACGTTTATGGAGGCGTAATCATTGGCAAAAAAAAGGAAGGCGGTGATCTTCCATTCTCCCTTGAACAACCATTGTCTCCTTCAGTGATCAAGGCCACCGTGTCGTTACCAACGACGCAAGCGCCCCCGTCAGGCAACTGGACCCTGAAGGACTCGGACGGCTACGTCTGCATGCGGATGTCCTTCTCCGCGCAGTGCACGGTCATCGACGGCAGCAGGGCTAGTAATATGAAATAATGTAGCCACAAATTCCCCCGAATGATTTCATGTCACTTGATTTCATGATGCTACCATCAGTTTGACACTACCAAGTTTCTTTTTCCTCTGTTACAAGGAATCCTCCACTCCTCACCCCGAAACGAGGCGGTAAACCGTACCCTAGGCCTATTGGTGTTTTTCATTCTTCCCAAACCCTTATGCTAACATTTTGTTCATGGCATTTGTATCCANACCGAGGCTTTTCTTCTGTTTGCGTTTTCTGAGGTGGACCTGTTTACTTTAATTCATTATTTTACACGCATGTACATAATTGACCAGGAGTGCATAAACAGCTTGAGCGACCTATTAAATATGTACGGGTTACAAAATGATATCCTCGTCAAATACTCAGAGGTTCTGCTGGTAGTTTCATTTTTTCGTCAGAAAACCATCTGAAATCATCAGAGCTTCCACTTTGAAGTACAAAATAAAGACTTTAGATATCCTTTTTTGTCACAAGCACAATAGATCGATTTAAAAATCAGTAGGCCTCCCTTTTGTATGGACTAATTTTCAAAAAGTGAAATGTACGATATACGTCGGGGTATCATGCACCAATCTAGATCGAGCTAGATCACTGGTTTTCCAAATGTCAGCTTCAACTCCATTTGTCGCCTTAATTGGTTTTTATTATATGATTCTGATTTTTAGCCCAACACATTAAACCTAATGCCTTACCACAGCAATAATAAACTTTATGGGATCCCTAAGGAAAAGTGTAATCCTTATTTTGAACACCACATGCCTACAAGCGCGGCTTGTATATAAGAGATTAAGCCTGAGATGGTAACGAAGTTGTGATTTAGATATGGTGCTGGTCTTTTGCAAATGCACCTAAT